TTTTTTTTTTAAGAAAAAGGGGGTGGGGGAAGCTTACTGATTTTTGTTGATCTGTTCTATCAGAAATGTAAATTCTTTAAGAAAACGCTGGCATAGATGATTCTTCTCCAGGGTGCTGGACATCATATTAAGCCACACAGGCTCTGCAATCCTTGGAACAGAATATAGGTTCCAGATGGTAACTCTGCTCAAAGAAAAATCCACAAAACTAAGTGTTAGCATGCACATTTCATTCTTGCAAACAAAAGTAGCCCCTTTCCTCTTCTATTGTCCCTTGATTTTTATTTATTTTTTTGTAAGATCTAGGAGGCTAAAAAAAAAAAAAAAAAAATAAATAAATAAAATGGAAAAGTTTTACTCTTCCAGTAATTACTTGTGTCGCAGAACGCTAGTCTGTTTGATTTGGTATACCAGAAACTTAGTGTCTTCATATGAATCACATATTTGTCTTCCCTTTCTTGCATTCCCTCGTGTATTTGTATTCAGAAAAATGATTCAGAAATCATTTTGAGGGGGAATAGAACCCATTCTATTCATTGCAGTGATTCATTTCCACATTCCAGACATTACAGAAACTCCATCCCACTAAAGCCTTGTCTCTCTCTCCTAGCTTGCCTTTCTTGGCCTCTAGCCATACTTCCTTTCTTAGGTACCAAAACCTTTGTGCCTTTGACAGCAACTGTCTTGTCAGCAACTTAAGTCACTGTTTAGCATCTATAGCTAGGAGTAGACACCTCATCTGCATAAATACAACAATCAATCCACTCGTCTGCACAGGCAACAGCAGAATCCAACTCCTGATGACATCTTAAAGTCTCGACAGTCACAGCTATAGGTGAATATAACAGAACTATTTTTGCTCGTTCTGAAAATGGCTGAGCTGGTTTTACTAAAGTTTTCTAAAAACATGTACCCAATACCCAACACAGAAAATTTATTCACTCTAACATCAAGACTGGCTAAATTACAAGACCTGCATTCAGTTGCTTATAATGGGAAGTGACAAATATCTTTAGGGGGGCATGAGAAGAGCTCTCCTTGTAATTCAGAATTCCATTAACTCACCTGAATTCTCCCAGGGCATCCATGACACGGCTGATATAAACCTGCACCCTTTGGCTGGATTCTGCTATTTTTCTACATGAGATCATGGCCTTGATTAAGAGTTAAAGACACAAAACAGCTTCTTAAGGGATTCGCATTCTTCATCTTTTTAAGCTTCATTAACATGTCAAAATAATTAAGATCTAGCCCCAGTGCTATACAGCCACTCAGGACAGCAATAGCTGCCAACCTCCCTCCACCTCATGAGAGGCCAATCCCTGAGACTTGGGATGGGGAGAGATGAGAATATTTTTGAGAGTATGGAGAAGACAGCAACAAACATTTTGTGTCTCTCCAAGCGACTGCATGAAAGGATAGAATACCATCATTTCCACAGTCTCTGCCGAGTCAAGAAAACCTCACACCGAAATACGGCAAGAAGCAAAGAAAAAGAAAAGCCACCCATAGCATAAAACTCTCCATTCTTATTCTGACTAGAAAAGAAACTGCACCTCTTTCAGCAAATGCTGAATTCCTACACTGGGCTCAGGCTGAAGACTACATGTGTAAGGAGGGAGGGAAGCTCAAAACCACGCACCTTCTCCCACTCTTAATCTATCATATTCTAGAATACTTCATGCTGTTTGACACTTTTCCACATTCGGACAAAACTAGTATTCTGTACCTTTTCTATTGCATATTTCAGCTTGTTCATATGAGATTCAAAAAGAGGGAAGTGAGAGAAAAAGAAATCTTGGAAATTTCTCTGTGCTTCTTCTTTTTCAGGCAGAGAAAAGATTATGCTGATGGCAATTTTTTTCCTCCGAACTATTGCAGGATTGGAGCTGCAGCTTTCATCAGCCATACTAAACATTTCTTCAGTGGACCTGTAAGACAGATTTGTTAGGACAGTTACCTATGTATTGAGAGGTAATTTGTCTTCTATCCCTATTTCTCTATGCAGTAGAATGTAATTAATTCCTGGGTCTCCTTTGACTCATTACAGAAGACTTTGCAGTCACCTGTCTCTGAACAGAGGATACCCAACATTCTCATGGATAAGACCAATATTTGTTCAGATAGGAGGAAGACAACCCCCAAAGAGGCCAGCTCCTTAAGTGGTGTGAATAGTTTCCTCTGAAACAGAGCTTCCACAAAATCCCTGCTTCTGGATTTATCTTTAAGGGAGATTAAGAGAATGGTGACACAATACTCAAAATCATTAGCAACCAAGGTTAAAGGTAATTTCAGAGCTCTGAACTGCATTCAGCACACAAGCTCCTGCCTATGATGCTCTTCGATCTACACTGCTGTTCATGAGGGAAGTTGGGAAACACGCTACCTATGCTGTTCCAGCATCTTAAAATGGATGTTTTAAGGCACTTAACCATGTAAAATAAAACTTTCTATTTTAAAAGAAGACTAAATGTCACCACTTAGTAATTACAGTGAAAATGCAAACTTAACACCTACAAATACATGTGTGACTAGCTGAAAGTTAGATATACTTCAGTTTAAACTGAAATGTTTTCAGCTAAAAAACTACCCCAAACCCACCCAAATAACCAAATAGTGGCTATTTTACAACCATTATTATTTCCCCAAGTTCTGTTTATCCAGTTGATGGCTCTGCCACATCTCTTTCAACAGTTATGCCACTTTTCAATATTACATATGGGTTGATACAGGGATCAATACTGCTCAACTTCTTGGTTATCAGCCCAGCAGGTGGCTCAAAATAGACCTTCAGTGAGTTTGCATATGATGCCAAAGGGGAGGGGAAATGGTCAATGCACCAAGGAGGCTGTGTAATCACCATCCTTTTAGATTTTCAAGACTCCATTAGACAAGTTCCACAGCAACCTGATCTAAATTCTAAGTTAGTCCTTTACACAGGCAACTGATTTGAATGATATCCACAAGTCTTAGCCCAGCATAAGTTTTTCTGCAATTATATAAAAAGGTGGCAATCCCCTCACCCTGCTCCTCCATCAATACTTCCACTGCAGTGCTTGATACTGATGTTGCAGGATTTACAGAACTATTATTTTTTTCTTGCTTAAAGTTCCTTGATCAATTTCACTGAAAAAAGGTCTTTAAAAAAAGTATATACTTCAATGAGTAACACAGTATGATCAAAATATATCTTTTGGAAGAAACTTTAATAGAATAATGGCTTTTAATCCACTGGGAAATTATAGGGGAAGAAGGGTAAGAATAGACAAGGAAACCAGTAGGACAAAAATGGAGACATTCAGAGCAGCAGCTCATATGGAAATATCTTGGGTTTGGAGTTTCTTTGTAAGTTAAGATTGCAATATCAGTGAGTGGTAATTAAAAGCTTGAAGGCTTTTCATATTAGAATTATCTTGAAATGGAGCCTGTGGCATTTATAGACCACTATGAAGCAATTAACAAGAGGAAAGCCTGAATGCGAAGCATTCATTCTAAGTTATTTCTAAAAATAAATGGTTTACAGTATAATTGGCTTGACAAAGTTAAATATACAAAAGTTTCTCATCATAGAGGTACGAGTTCAGGAATACAGGAAAACACACACACAATAATACCCAGGAAAAAAAAAAAAATAAAAAATTGTGGGAAACTAGAGTTCAAGACAAAAACATAACCTCATTTGAACTTCAGGAACTTGCATGCAGAGACACAATTTCCCAAGGAAGTTGGGAAAGGATGGTCAGTCAGCATCTAAGAAACATCACAAGCTTTTGTACTGCTTCCCAGGAACAGAAATTGAAGAATTTAGGTCTGAGAGAAGCCTTTTCAACAAAGCTGCTAATGTAGCTTGCCTGCCAATTGACTACATGGAGCTCCAGCTAGACAGCTCATTTTCTTTGAGCTATTGGCCTAAATGTAAGTCACAGAGACTGTAGAATCTTGGCTGTACAAACTGAAGTACAAACTCTGCTATCACTGAAGTATTCAACCAGAAACCTACTGTTTTTCTGGCAAGTAATCAGAAAACAAGTATCTACTTTGGCTTAGAAACAATTGCAATTCAAGAGTAGTTTCTAGATAGTGGAAATAATAATGTCCTGTTTCCACTATCTTTCCCAAGCATAAATTCTCCACTGTGGAAGAAAAACAACCTACTCCCTACAGTGAAGCAGCAGCCCAAAAAGGCTGCTGGATTCTAAAGAATTTGTTACTTTAGTAACACTGAGGATATTTCTATATGTGAAATTTTGGCTACTTCTTGAACTGGGCTGAAATTATCTTATTTGCCCTAAATGTTTTAACTTTTGCACTGCTCTCAGCCTTATTTCTTTAGGAAACTAGATTAAAAAGTACTTCAATTTACTGAAAGCAAAATGCTTACTTGCTTATTCTCAACTGCAAGCATGATTTAGAAAGCATGACTGCTACACTGGCACCACTGCATTATTCTTAATGTTAAAAATGATTCTGCAAGAATATCCAGGAAAAAACTTTGAGTGTGGACATGTCATGGTTTAAGCCCAGACAGTAACTCA